CATGGTTTATAAGAAACACATTAACAATGAACGTATGCAAACATACATAACCATATCAATTATATATTGATATATTTATATCAATATAAAATAACCTGTATGAAAAATCCCATATAAATTCACTTGAAGTACAAACCCACAAGATTTCCAGTATTAATCCAAGTATCTTTGGTGTTTTTCGTTTAAGGTATTTTCCACCAAAACCAGACCTATATTGCTTTTTTTTCCACAGACCTTGAAAGAAAAGCTCCAAAATAAATTAAGGACCCTTGGAAGAATAAGCGCCGTGCATGAGGCAAGGTCTGGCCTGTGCAGGACTCCCTTCAGACCCAGAGGACGCGCGGCACCGTTCGCTGCAGCTCCCTCTCGGGCTGCCTGGAGGCTCAAACAACAAAATCACAATTTCCCCCAGACCCAACCCGCGGGGGCAGAGGAGCAGCCGGGTCCGGTCCCCTCGGGGACCAGGGGCGCATCCCGAGCACCGCACGGCGCTCCCCTCCGGGCGGGTCCGGCGGCTCTCGGGGATCCAGCGGGGATGGATCCTGCCCGGAGCCTTGCCCGGAGCCGGGCTCTCAGCGGAGGGCGGGGGACAGCCGCGTCCCCAGCTCGCAGGTGCCCGCCGTGCCGGGCTCGGCGGGGCGCAGCGCCCAGGCGGGCAGCGGCAGCGCCGGGGGCACGGCCGGGCTGCGGGCCGGCAGCTGCGGGTACCGGCGGGGCAGCAGCAGCGCTGCCCAGGGGCCCTGCGGCCAGCCCGGGGACACCGGGCAGGGCGGCGGCGGCCGGAGAGCGGCGGGGCCCGGGCGGAGCTCGGAGAGCTGCGGGGGCTCAGCGGGGCCCGGGGGGATCCTGGAGGGCGGCGGGACCCAGAGAGCGGCGGGGAGCGAGGCCATCCCCGAGAGCAGCGGGGGTCGGAGAGCGGCGGGACCCGGGGCGATCCCCGAGGGCGGCGGGTCCCGGAGAGCGGCGGGGCCCGGGCGGAGCTCGGGGAGCTGCGGGGGCTCGGCGGGGCCCGGGGCCATCCCCGGGGGCGGCGGCGATGCGGGCGGGCGGCGGCAGAGGCGGCGGCGGCGGCGGAGCTGGTAATTGCCCCCCGGGTACATGTCCTGGAAAGCGGGGTCCAGCGCCCACTCGCCGGCGCGGCCGTGGCGGCAGGGCAGCCGTCGGAAGCAGGGGTTGAGGCTGAGGTTGTGGCGGACGCTGTTCCGCCACTGGCGCCCGGGGCCGCGGTAGAAGGGGAAGCGCTCCGCGATGTAGGCGTAGATGCCGCTCAGAGGCAGCCGCTGCCCGGGGCTGGCCCGGATGGCCATGGTGATCAGCGCCACGAACGAGTAGGGAGGGCGCCGCGGCCACCCCGCCGTGCTTGCGTCGGTGCCCGGCCCGGTGCCCGGCTCGGTGATGGGATCCGTGTCCGGCCCGGTGCCCCGCCCGGTTATGCGCTCGGTGCCCGGCTCTGTGATGTCTGTGATGCGCTCGGTGCCCGGCTCGGTGATGGGGTTGGTGTCCTGCTCAGTGCCCCGCTCGGTGATGTCTGTGATGCGCTCGGTGCCCTTCTTGGTGCCCGGGCCGGTGATGCGCTCGGTGCCCCTCTTGGTGCCCGGGCCGGTGATGCGCTCGGTGCCCCTCTTGGTGCCCGGGCCGGTGCCCGCCGCCCGCCGCTCGCCGGGGTCGCTCTCGGCCATGGCCCCGCGCTCCGCTCGCCCCAGCCCCGCGGGCCCTTCTAAAGCCTCTCCCGCCACCTCCCACCCCCGGCCCAGCCCAGTCTGGTCAGTTCGGGGTCGCCGCCGGGTCAGGCCGGGCACGGCTCGGTCAGAGCTCGGCGCTGGGAGCCGGTCCGTGCCCCCGAAGCCGGCGGAATTCCCATCGTTTCCTACCCCCGGGGGATCGGCTGCACACCCGCCACGCCCAGGGGCAAACACAGCCCTGACCCCGCCGGGACCCGGCCCCGGCCCCGGAGGGTGATGGAGAAGCTGCTCCGCTGCAGCAACGTGGATTCTACCGGTGTGACACCTGTGCGAGCACTGCGAGTCATGCAATCCTTCACAATACACCTGTGTGTGCAGAATTAGTAGCGAGCTGTTGGCAGTCATTTAGTTAAAATACATCCTCCTTTAAAAAATGTTGATTGATCAGCTCGTGCCACCTGCCCCCTAATTTACATTACAAAATAAAACCGTAATGTAAAGACCGTACAATAATACATAAACACCCTCAGTCAAGATTTCATGAGAAAAGAAACCACTTAAATGCCTAATGAACACAGAATTAGGGTGTGCACAGAACTGGACCACTCACACTAAGGCGAAAACTTATCCGGTTTTATTTTTTAAAGAAAAATATTCCTCTTTAAACACAAAGCATGAACTAAAAACCTCCGAGGAACAGCTTCTCCTTCCTTGGAGCATGTTTAACTAAACTGTACAGTGACAGAGCTCCCCAAAGAACACACACATATAACATACAGTCTTTCTTTCACAGGAAATAAGGTTTAGGACTTGAAATTGTCCTCCTCACCCTTTCTAGACACCCATTCAATCCAAAAATACTCTGTACCTTACTCCTGCCCCAGAACACAGTGATGATAATTTCTGGATGCAACATATATCAAAAAAAAAAAAAAAAAAAAAAAAAGTGTGGGCCAAATCGGCCCATTCTAGCCTTTTAACAAATGTCTGTGAGAGAGGTTAAGACCATTGTTATTTCCAGGAATGGTGCTTGGAAGAAAAATATAGCAGCATCCACAGGCAACAGAAGCCTTTGAGTCCAGCTGCCCTGCTCCAAGGGCCCAGCCAGTTCAGCAGGGATCTGCAGATGTTCCCAGCACCCAGGAACAGGGAGTGGGAATCAAACATTCACAGGCCTCATCTGTTGCTTGAACAAATAGCCTAAAATTCAGTGAATCTGGCCTACATATGCCAGCGATGAGGTTTGAGGTTTTATCCCCTTCCCCAGTGACCAATTCAATGTCTAAGATTTTATGTTAAAAGGTATGATAAACTTCAGAAACCAGCAACTTGTTCTACCCACTCCCTCTATCCCATCAAATAGATATGTGCATAAAATTTCACATCTGCCAAACTCCCCAGACTGTGGAACTGGAACCAGACTCCAAAATACAAATTCTTTCTAATTCAGAACAGCAAAATCATCTAAAGTATCTGCAAAGTCTCAGAACATGCCTAACAAGCCCATAGCCAAAGAAGAAGTACCTGGACATTTTCAATGGAAAGTAGGAAATGGAAAAGGTCTGTAAATAAATCTCATTTCTACTTGACTTCATCATTAATTGTTGGTATTATTAAGCCACGTTCAGATCTTTATCAGGCCATTTTGTAAAGATCTTTCCCACTCCATACACTCCAACAGTTTTTACAGTAGGAAAAGTATTAGAAAAATAAAATCTCCCCCCTGAACAACACTGTATGAAGATCAACATCATCAGTCACAGATATTTTTACAGGGGACCAGATAAAACTTCTGCTTCCTCCAAACCAGCTTTGTACAGAAAAGAGCAGCAAGATAGACACAGTATCTACGAGCTAGATTAAGGCCAACAATATAAAGACAAACATGGGCTCAGATCTTCTGAAATGAAGAAACCTTGCAAACGTTTTTGTACATCTGCACGCACACACACACACACTCACACTCACACCACTCACACGCTCATATGTTCCTCAAGCAAAGGCTTCACAACCGTGAGAGCACCACGGGAGAGAGTTGTAGCACCAGAATGAAAAACTTCCCTCTGCAGTAATGAACCCCAAAGTCTCTATTGCTGTGGACAAGGTCACCGAGCCCCCTCTCCGGAGCAGTTTGAGTGAGCAGCTCAGAGGGGCAGGGACAGTTTCGGTGCTCCTGCTCCGAACGCAGATGGGAAGAAGAGGGCTGTGGAGATGCTGCAGCTCCTGGGCTGTGAGGAGGAGGAGGAGGAGGAGGTTGGTATTGCAGTCTGGTCCAGCGTGGTGGTGAAACTGAGCGCAGGCTGGGAGGTGGAAGGGGGAGGTTTGCATACACAAGGTCACAGTGCACTTTGCTGGGTGGTAAGGACAAGCACAGCCACAGCAGCTTGTCTCTGTGTAGGACAAGGAGCACACACTGCACCAGAACATCAGGAAACCCAGAGAGCAGAGGCTGAAAGAGGAGCCTGGCAGCTGCTCTGCCATCATCCTGCCTGTACACATGCTCGGGCGAGCGTGCAAAGTCTATAAAAGGGACAAAAATCTCTTTACAACAAGGTTATGTGTCCGGTTTGGCTACAAGGAACAATTCATGCAAGTTACGACAGAACTCATCGTCCATCTGCAGCTCAGCTTTGGGCTGCAGGCTCTCCTGGCTCTGGGCTGTGTGCAGGAGGTGCTGGCTGTGCAGGGCTGCACAGCTCTCTGAGAGGCCAAGGGAGATGCAGCCTCAGCAGTGATCCATCCTCAGCCCTCGGATCAGCGTGAGTGTGCAGGCCTGGCCTCCCCTGCAGGCACAGCAGGGACCAGTCTGACCCACAGGGAGGGCAGGAGCAGCAGCTGGAAGTGGGCAGCTCAGACCATGCAGGGAGACTTGGGAATCACAGAGACACTCAGTTTTTCAGGGCTTGAATCAGCAGCAGCAAAGCCCCATTTATGCTGTCGCATGCACGCTGATCAGGCTGGCTGGGGCTCCCATGGGCTACCGAGTGAGGCTGGGGAGGAACTCAACTAAAACATGCAGCAAAATAAAAAGCAGAGTGAAAAGGAAGGGTGATCATCACTGCCAGGTGGGGCTCAGGTTCAGAGCAGAGAATGGTCAGCAGCAGATACACCTTGCTCTGTGCACATGCAGGAACACAAGAGAGGAACAGCAGCGAACTGGAAAGGAGGGAAACACAGAATTCACCAATTCAGGGTGCAAACACAGGGCAGTGGGGTGGGGCAGGGAAATTTGAGGTAAAGGAGCCCAAAGGAAGAGACAACAGAAAAAGTCTTTATAGATCAGAGTCCTGCTTCAGGAAATACACAGCTAATGCCAGGTGTTTTTCATACCATGGTAAATCCCTCTGCACTTGGTTTTTGGGAACCAAAACAGCAAGATCAGGATTTCTTTTTTTTTTCCCTAAGATGCACTAAATGATTCTGAGTGTTCAGCACAATATTCTAAATGGCCCCTGAATTCTAAGCAATGCTGAAGGCTTACCCAAAAGCAGAAATACCCAAATTACAAACTGCTTTTGATAATCTACTAACTTTCCTTGGGCTAGAAAAGAAGAATCTCTCCAGAAGGCTGAATTGTCCAGAAGCAGGTTTGGCATTTCTCACTGAGAGCACCTGGGCATTTTACTAAGTAAGAAATATCTCAAACAGTTACTTAGCAAACCCCAACATGAGAGTGAGGTGTCAGGTCTCTGGATAGATGTATACAATCAGCTTCTCACCTACCCCTAACAGAACAGATTTGTGTGATTTACAGCAAGAACAGGCTCTGCCACTCCCGGCTCCAGTGAAAGCTCCAGCAGAGCTGAGAGCTGAAGCCCTTTGTGGTGCAAATCACACAGGGATCCTTTCTTTTTGCCACTTGAGAGTAACACAGGTGATGCCTGCTGGGGCTCTGCAGCCAGCACAGGGTCTGTCTGGGCTGTGCAGCCACAGGCACACACAGGGCTGAGGGCCAGCGTGGCCACAAGGAACTGGTGAAAGTGGCCTCAGGGCCAGGTCCAGCTGGAAGCACAAGGACATATAAGATGCAAGAACATGACAGAGCAGCCAAGGTCACCCATGTGCTTAGGCAAGCTTAAGGCAACTAAAGAAAGTTCACTGACAATTTAGAGAATGCCAGAGAGAAGAGAGAAGAGGAACCACTGAGCAGAGCCTGGGGATGCTGCTGCAGTAGCCAAAGCCCAGCACCAGCTACTAAGCCATCCCTCTTCTTCAGCTCATTTGCTCTAATTCTCCCCGTTTTACCAGCACCATCAGCACGAGGTCAATATGTCAGAAAGAAGAGCTGGGGTAGGTCCCTAAAAACGCAGCTCACGCATTGTCAGGCTTGTGTCTCGGGTCAGTTCTCTTGAAAGGAAGTGTGTGGGCCATTGGAGTGGCCTCCTGCTTTGAGCTGGGAATGCTGCCTGCCATCTCCAGGGACGCTCTGGATATGATCTACCTGGAAGGGATGGCAGCAGCTGCCCAGGTTGCTTTTCATGCCAGCTGAGTGTACAGCAGTTTTTTGATGAACAGCATGCACCGGTGGCACGGCCTTGGCCATGAAGCCGTGGTTGGGTTGCTCTCATCTCCTCAGGACCAGGTGGAACCAGAGGGACAGGGAGGGCTGGCAGCAGTCAGCGCAGGCTCCTGTAGACATAGGCTGATGTGAAAACAGCATTGAGGGTCAGGCTCACGGCCAGCAGGCCCCGCAGGGCAGAGGTCCCAAAGCGACCTGGCAAAGGGGAGAACACAGAGAAAAAAGGGAAGAGTAAAAAGAGATGTTAAAGAACTGATAAGTAAAAGTTAACATGTGTTGTACATGTTGCTGCCATGTACTGTTTCTCTCTGGCCAGTGTTTCAGCACAAGCAGAAATTGCTGAAGCACTTTTCCTGTCAGGAAAGACTCCACTGCTCTCTTTTAGCTCTATTTTCATCTCATCTCATGCTCCTGACACCTGCATCCCCACTCCTGTTTTTCTGTCTTGGTTTAGCACTTTGTCAGTGTTCTTCAGACAGTCCAAAGAACAGGAACAGCTTTATTAACATCTTAGAATGGCAGGCAGAAGGTCCACTTTGCAACTACTTATTAATTTGATTTCCAGGAAAGATCTCAGCTACCCTCACAGAAACGCTCACACGTGCATGAAGCAGTCACCAGACTTGCACTCACCTCTCCAGCCTGCCAAATCTTCCCCTTTGGTAGTCGTGTCCACCACGCAGGTAGATGAGTGTGACGAGTGATCCTCCTTTTTGATGGAATTATCACTGCAAATACTCCCCCCTTCCACGGCCGATCTCATATCTGCAAGGAGAGAAAGACAGGAGAATTCACCACCTGGGTTTCTCCTGCAGGTTCCCCAGGTGGTGGCCTGGATGCTGCAGGGCTGTGCCTCTGCAGGGCTGTGCCTGTGCCCCTGCAGGGCTGTGTTCTCTGCAGGGCTGTGTCTCTGTTCCTGTGCAGGGCTGTGCCTCTGCAGGGCTGTGTCTCTGTGCCCCTGCAGGGCTGTGTTCTCTGCAGGGCTGTGTCTCTGTGCCCCTGCAGGGCTGTGCCTCTGCAGGGCTGTGTCTCTGTGCCTCTGCAGGGCTGTGCCTGTGCCCCTGCAGGGCTGTGTTCTCTCAGGGCTGTGTCTCTGTGCCCCTGCAGGGCTGTGTTCTCTCAGGGCTGTGTTCTCTGCAGGGCTGTGCCTCTGCAGGGCTGTGTCTCTGTGCCCCTGCAGGGCTGTGCCTCTGCAGGGCTGTGTCTCTGTGCCCCTGCAGGGCTCTGTTCTCTGCAGGGCTGTGTCTCTGTGCCTCTGCAGGGCTCTGTTCTCTGCAGGGCCGTGCCTGCCAGCCGCTCCCTCCCGCTCCGTACCGGGCACGCCGCGCTCGGCGAGGCTCCTCGGGGTGCAGCCGTGCAGCTCGGGGCTGAAGGCGTTGCTGTCGGGCTGGGGGGGCTCCTCGGGGCCGCTGGGGAACAGCAGCAGCTTCTGCCCCTGCAGGTTGAGGCGGGCCGGGCTGATGAGCGGGCGGCGCAGGCGCAGCGAGCCCGAGCTCGAGGTGACCGAGCCGGCCACGGACGGGGCAGGGGACGGCAGGCGGGACGGGGCGCGGCTGCCCAGCAGGGACAGTGGGTCTGAAACACAAACACCCACAGCACTTAGAGATACCCTGAACGGAGACACACCCTTCTCCCAGAAATGTAAAAGCTGTGAGAAACTTAAAAGAACTCAAAATTATTATCTCTCTATAACCATTGTTTAGAGATATGGTTCTCCAGAGTCTGCTATTCATAGTTCACCAACAGTGTGAGAAAACGTTCCTAAAAGCCAATCAAGTCTTAAGTCCACCATTGTTTCTATAAAAATTTTAATGATAAAGTGTCTTTTTAAAACCTTCTAATGATAGAGTCTCTGTATCACCTTTAGCTGCCCCCAGTACCCCTTTGGTAATAACACCCCACAGATAAAACCACCGGGTTATCATCCCACTGCAACAGGCACAGTTCTCTTTAACAGCACAACAAGGAAAAGGAATGGGAGTTGCAAATGTCCACCAATATGTCCTGTACTAAAATTCGTTATTTATTTGAGTCCCCACACTGCAAAGCACAGAGAAATCCCACCAGTACTTTGGTACACTCAGGAGTGACTCAGGTTATCAGGAGCCTGGTGAGCTTTGTCTTAGCTCAGCTCTGTCCATCCAGGAGAGCGTGCACAATCCATTCTGCAGGTGAATGAACTGCAGAGGAGGTGCACGGGGAGCAGGAGGTTTGCATGGCCCGGGGTGGGACAGCAGCACAAACAGCCCAGGGATCTGTCTGGGCCACAAGGGCCGCAGAGAGGTCACGGAGCAGCCAAACCAGCAACTGCTGCTCTCTGCTGGGAAAGCTACAAAAGAGCTGCCCTGAAGTAGCTGAATTCTCCTCTCCAAGCAGGCTCAACGCTGCTCGAATCAGCAAAGGGCTCCTTGTTTTGTCTCACTGATGCCACCGTGAGCTCTCCCAGCGAGAACATCCAGCACACACAGCACCTGACTTTAACGCCATCCCACCTCTAGCTGGGGCTCTGCCTGCAGCATTTCCAGCAGCAAAACGGACATTTTCACTGGAATGCGAGCAGGGAGGAAAGAATTCAACCAGACCACGTGTTTCAACCCACTCAGTGCAAATCCTGCACAGACTGTGGCTCTGGAAGGCCTGGAGCAGTACCTGATGTAGGGGACTCCTTGGAGCAAGATGACTGCGAGGCCGGCCGGCTTCCACTGAACAAATACCCAGAATCTAAAAGCAAAAATGAAACAATTTGAACCCAGGACAGGACTATAACGTGTGGATCCAGTGCCATTCCCTCTGGGCCAGCCCCTGCACACTCACCTGGATCCCTCCGATTCCATTTCCTCCTGAAGCACTGCACCATTGCAGCCCCATTCCCTCTAGGACAGCCCCTGCCCTCACCTGGATCCCCCCCAGCCCAATTCCTCCTGGAACTGCAGCCCCACTCCCTGTTGGACAGCCCCTGCACACTCCCTGGATCCCTCCCAGCCCATCTCTCATAGGATTTGCAGCCCCTGTCCCCGTGCCAGCCCTGCCCTCACCTGGATCCCCCCCAGCCCAATTCCTCCATGAATTGCAGCCCCTCTCCCTGGATCCCCCCAGCCCATCTCCCCCAGGCCCTGCAGCCCCTGTCCCCGTGCCAGCCCTGCCCTCACCTGCCCGTGCCAGCGAGGGGATGGTGCCCAGCGACAGCGCCCTGTGGAGGCGGCCGGGCAGGGAGGACGAGCCCGTTCTGCGCGGGGACCTGAAGAGCTGCTGGTTTGTCAGGTGCAGGATGCTGGGCGGAGTTGGCACAAACAGAGACGTGGCAGGTGAAGGGAAGGCTGGGCCAGGGCTGCTGGGAAAGACAGCGATGGAGTCCCCAGAGAGGTACCTGCAAAGGACACGCATGACAGACACTCAGCAATGAGAAACACCAGCAACTGCCTCTCTCGTGCTTGCAGAACATTTGTTTTGTTGCCAGGTTTGGACTAACTTTTCAGTGCAGGAGTGCTGAAGTTTATGGGAATGTTCCTACACTTCGGGAAAAGAAGAATGGCCCAACCTTACTTAAATTATTGTGCACCAACCTGTCCCACAATACAGGGTGGAACAGTTTAGGAATGCCAGTGAAAATACCCTGGATGACGAAATTACCCAGAGAATACTTTAAGAAGTCCAGATGTTAAAATACAGAAATTTTGTATTATTTTTAACAATTGAATGAAAATACATGAAAGGAAGTTTAGAATAGGAACCAGAATCTCTGTTCCCCTGAAAGACTTTTTAGTTAGAAACACATAATAGAACTGTCAAATAAATCATGATGAAGAACTGAGTATGAAGTGCACATTTTTAAATGGAGATATCTGACTTTGCAGATACAATATTTGGAGGCTTAATCTCACTTCTGATGGAAACAGAGACAGATGAGAGCAGTAACATGGTTACATGGCTTTTCTTCTGTCAGAGGAAAGCCAGGAGGAAATCAAAGGGTGAAGAAAATCTCAGCCTTGCACTGTGGGGTGATTTATGCACGTGTCATTCTGCCCTGGAGATGAAAGAGGTGGTGCAGCAATATTATGCCGTGCTAACTCTAGAGTGAAGATTACAATTTAAAGCATCTTATAAACTACTTATCTGCTAGCAGGAAGCAGCCATCGCCAATCCTGACCAGCTTAATGAGGCTGAACACGTGAGCCAAGCAGGGTGCTGGGGCAGGAATGACTCCAACAGCAGCCAGGGATGTGCAGGTGTGGCAGCCCCAATGCCCAACCTCTCCAGGATCCAGAGGACCTCAAAGGGGGTCCTGCTCTGCACCCCCACACACATCCACCCCACCACACACACAGATGGGCGTGCCCAGCTCGGATTTGTAAAAGGAAATGAGTGGGAAAGGGAATTAGAAGTGCAGCTCAGGACTGATATGAGTCATAGGAGAAAGAGTGATACCTACCCCTCACTGTGCCATGGCTGTGGAGGGCCAAACCAGAGCATCACCTGTGAGCCACATGGCTCTTCTGTCCTAACTTTGCACCTTCTGTGTCTTTGGGCCAAAGGATCCAACTTTTCACAGCTCCTTGGTGCAGCAGAAAACAGCTTAACTGGTTTATTGGCTTTTGTAAGTCTTTCATTTAACGGGCTGGAAGCTATTCTAGTAATTTATCACTCATAACCACAGTCCTGGGACTGGGACTGTTTTGGATCAGGCTTCCAATGGCTCTGCTGCTCAAAGCCCCAGTGCTCAACCTCACCCAGCCAGTGCAGCCAGATCCTCAGGGCAGTGAAGAATCATTTGTCTTAAACCATCCAGAAAAGGAATTAGCAAAGAGGAGCTGCAGGATTTTAAGTATAGCTTATTAATGCCTTAGGACTGAATTCTGACCAAAATGTGTCCTAAACATTAATCTGTTCTGAACAAATTCCTGCTAAGTGTGCAAAATCCTGTTCCTGTTCTCTGCACTCTTTAGTGTTTGCCACTGCCATGTCAAGAGGGCTCAATGCTGCTAAAAGCTCTCATGGCAATGTGCTTCACGCCTGAGAATGGGCAGCTGAACTAAAACTTCTCCCAGAAGCAGATATAAAAAAGGTGAGGAGATCAAGAGGATCAAGAGGCAGGAAGCAGCCCCATCACAGCCCTGGGATGGAGCACTGCAGCTGTGCCTCTGCTCCAAGCCATTTGTCTCGTGCTAATAGTGGCTCTGGAAACAGTAAAAAATGGAACATAAAAAAAAAAGAAGGGGAAAAAAAGGCTCTGGAGTCAGATAGTTTGTGGAAATAGTCAAGGCCCGGAAGCCGTTTATTTCAGAACTTGATATTGTGAACATCAAAAGCTGGGTATCTTAATTAGTGTTTACAATGATCACAATGTTACTAGACAGTCGGGCACAACTCTGCTACACAGATACTTCAAAAATAAATAAATAGAAGGTTAAAGAAGGGTATTACATGGTAGGGGACTGTACACGGTCCTGAAGGAACACCTCCCCTGCTCTGTCCCAACAGCTCCCTGTCAGCCACAGCCACCATAGGTGTGTGCCTCTTAAATTCACATTTTACAGAGATGCTGCACCAGCCCTGGGACAGACACAGACATGGGAGAGCAGGGGCAGGCCAGGCTGCAGATGGACCCACTCCTCCGTCAGATAATTCAGCCCATGAAGAAGAAGGGGAGATGCAGTCCCAGGCAGGCAGCTTGGGGATGCGCCCAGCCCTGGCAGCTGGGGAGCCAAGTGTCAGCCAGGGCTGAAACATTTCCCCTCAGAACTGAGCACCCAGGTACAGCAGGGATCTCTGTCCCCGGGGTGCAGAACAGGTCCCTGCCACCCCAGGAACAGGGCACTGTCACTGTGCCCTGGCACTGCTCTGCTGCACTCCCCACCCAGGGCACAGCCTCCTGTCAAACCCACAGAACCAGAGGGAAGAGCAGTACAGGAATAAAAAACAGGCACAAGGACAGGGGAGAGTAGTGTTAAAATGGGCACAGCTCTCAGACACATTACAATTTTGATATGTGGCTTAGAGAGCTACAAACTTCAACTGCCAAGAGTAAGAATTCTTGTCTCCTGCCTGTTGTCCTGCTTTGGATGAAAAGGGAGGGTTGAATTAGAGCTGCACTAAGACCTTCTACAGCACAGATGCTTGGCATCAATTGTGCCTTTTTCCCCCAGCTGGGGCACAAAGTGGGGAGTACATGTGTGTGTATATGCACATCCTATGCCTACACAAACCCAGACTTGCTGGCATGCCAAAAATGCCCAGGGCACCTCCTCCTGCCTGTGCACTCAAGAGCTTTGGTCCCAACGAGGCTTTACAGGGGATGACTTCAGGACTGAGTACTGTCCCTTTCCCTGGAGAGCACTGCCCTGGCTCCAAGAGCCAAGTGTCCTTGCAGGTGACAGCACACCTGGAAGGAGCTGGCAGCTGTATGTGACAGCACACGATTTCAACAGCATCTCTGAAAACCAAAGCAAAGCCATACAGCACAGCTCCCTTCACTTTTCACGAGTGCAGTCAGTCTGGAGCAATTATCTGGCCATTAATTATATTAATTTTTATAAGAGCATAAATACTTTGTTCACATTACATCAATACATAATTCCTATAGCGTCTAAGCATGATTATTAGCTTCACATAATTTCAGCACACTTGAAAAATATTCATAAAGCCAAAATAATAAGCCACTACACCATTTTTATATTCCCACATGTCCTCACCCTTTGACACACCCAAGCTCACTGGGGCATGCAAAGCACGGATGTAGGAGAGGAGTTAAGAGAGAGGAAAGAACTGGATATAAACACAGAGTATTTAGAATGGTGAAGGGCCACAAAGGTGTCAGTTTGCGTGCACTGATGTCACTGAGGGCCCCAGGAAGAACAGAGGCAGCAGCAGAGATGCTGACCTGGCTGCTGCCCCGGGGTTCTCCTGCAGAGTTGCTCAGAAATGTTAGCCCAGGTGTCCCCCTGTGCCCTGCCACGCTCGGTGGTGGCACGGGAGGGACAGAAGCGCTGGCCTGGCAGACACGTGGGCACTGCTGCAGCCCTGTGCCACCAGGCAAAGCAACACAGTGTTGTCCCAAATCTTGTCCAGGAAAAGGCACTTCATGAACCCACACTGGCCCCTTTGTAACTGGCTCTGCTGGGCAGGGTACAAGATTTTGAGCTGGCACATCAGCCACGGCCAATGAGGGCCAGTCAGGCACTTGGGGATGGAGCAGATTTGATTCCAAGTGACACACAAACCCACTAACAATCCCTCAGCACCTCTGTTCTGCTGCTACCATCCCCTGGTCCAGACACATGGTTAGTGCAAAAAAGCAGCACCTTGAATTAGGGGCTTTTGGGCTAAAACCCTCTAATATTGTTAAGATATTCACATGCTCTGGCCTGCATGGCTGAGAGAATGCTCAGGCAACAAAACTGCACCTGGAGACCACCACGTGTTCCTCTGTGGCCTCAAGTAGGAGCCCAGCTAAGGGAAAACAAGAAGCCCAAGGCAGTGACCAAGTGGTTCAGCATGATTTTGTGTCATTTGTGGTCGTTAGTTACCAAACCTTTGTTAGCTCTTATCCCACCCAGCAGAAGGAAATGTGTGACACAAAATAGCACCTCAGCTGCACAGGACAGCACCACTGTGCAGCAAAACACACATTTTCACCTGCTGGACTCTCTGTGGGGCAACAGGCATGCAGTTAGATGATGTGCTCAGATATCTACATTTACATGACATAATCTAACTGCTGAGTAAAAAATGCAAAGCACCTTCCATACAGAACCTATGGCATGGCAGTGTCTGGAACAGCCTGTTTGGCTTTGGAATCAGGTGTGGCAAGGACAGTCTCAGCAAAGGCAGTAGTGGTTTTGACTATTTCTTTTTCCACAGTCAACAGTAGAATGCTGCTAACTTACAACTTCTCTGCAGGGCTCCTTGTCTGACACACAACTGGGATGGACTGAATGCTACAGTTTAGAAATCAGAACACCTCTGGACAAAACCCACCCTTCTCCTTTCTTCCCTGACCCCTAAAGACCCATCATCCTCCACATCAGCCAAAGCATGTGAGACAAGGAGAAACAAAGGAGCCTGTCAGCATCAGAGTCTCTAAAACACCAAAAATTCAACTGTTGCAAGGTTGGTTTTGAGGCTCTGAGGTTGTTGTTTTCAGAAGCAGCACCACAGACATGCTGAGGCACCGAGAAGTGGGGAAAATAGGCTGACACCTGAGCAAAAACAAAAGCTTCTTTGGCATTAAATGAACCGCACTTCAATTATTCTGTTTCACCTTTGAAATTTTCCCAATTACAAGCACAAAAGTTCTCAAATCGTAAGTTGTGAACAAAGCACCAGAGATCAGTTGTACAGCTTGGCCATAAAACAAAGTAGCTTTCTGATGTTCTGACATATAAATCAGTGCAACTAGTAAACATACTTCATTTGTATTAATCTGCATAAAGTGAGGACAAATGATGTCACTTGCAGTTAACATATCTCCCACACTAAAGGACTTTAAACTCAGTATAGATTTGCACTTGCTGTGCAAACAGAGCTAAAACATTCCTTAACAGGATTATTCAGGCTTCACAGTGTAAATCCTCTGCTTCCCACAGTTCTAGCAACTGCCTGTTCCCAACATTTAGTGTGCATCCTCCCCATCCCATCCCAGCACTGCACAGGGAAAAAGATAACCAGAGAAAAGAACAGGCATGGTAAACCAACATAACATTTACAGCAAAACATCACAAAAGGTGCCTGACCCCAGGGAGCTTGAGGAGGAGTCAAGTTTAAATAGAAAGATAAAACCCAAGTGTTCCTAAAAAGGGAGGAGAACAGATACTTAGAGGAGATAGGAGACAATGGGAAACAGGACACAGTGACGCTTAACACAGCCTTGGCTTTCAGCTGCTGAATAAAACATCTGGAGAGGCTGCCAGCCATCTTTAGAAGCTGCCACTGAGAGTTTCCTTCCTACTGGGCAAGAGAATTTGGACAGACGCATTTCATTCTTATTAATAAAAGGGCATTGCTGACAGAAATCAGGCATGACATCACCATGACCATTCCCACTGAGTTTGTCAGCTTCCCATACCCCTCCTTTGAGCCTTCTCAGTAAATCCTTCACATATGAGATTCCTCCCATTCCCTGGACACATCTCAGAGGAGAACACCAAGAGGAACTTTCAATCCAAATTGTACAGGTAAGTGCAGAAGACAATCGCAGATAGAAGTCTTTTCTTACATGTACTTTATGAGAAAAATTTGGAAGTCCTGAAGCAGGAAGAAGGCAAGAATTAAAAAAAAGTCCAGATGCCTTATTTCACTTAATGGCCATACTAGCTCAAGGTTTCCCATGCCTGTGAGCTGGAAGACAAATGTTTTGGGTCAGGACTGATAGTGATGGGAACATGGAAGATGGAACCAGACTTTGCAGCGGCTGGATTCCTCTTGTGGGTAAGTAAGTAAGTAAACAACCCTCAGCATCATTCACAAGCACCACAACGGAGCCAGGCTCCGTGAGCTTGGATATTGCAGCTATCTGAAGGCACCAGAAAAAGATTCCAAAGGAGAGCCCAGGTGGGCAGCAGGTCTGTGTGCCACTCCCTTGCTAAGGTACAGGCACACAGCCAGGAGCTGCACCTTCCATGACGCAGCCTGGCTTATTGTTAATGAATTTCAGAGTTTCGGCAGTGCTACCTTTATGCTTTCACAACGAACAGCTGTTTGAGGAACAGTAAGTATGAACAGCTAGGAAATAGCTTTTGTTTCCTTTAAAAAAGCTCCTCTAATTCCACCAGCATCTGCAGCACCCAGCAGTGTCTGCATTTTTCAGCAGGAGTTGCAGATACTTCACAGTGAGAGCTCCACTCTGATTATTTTATAGTTTATACACTGCAAGATCACCAATTAACTTATATCAGACTATTAGGGTGGTGAGTTCCACTGTGCTATTCTGAACAGAAGAAAATAGCAGATGTTCTGTAAAAGTGCTATTTCCCTCTTGAAAAACCAAAGTCCATATGAGAAACTCAGTGGAGTGCCTTTCAAACAATCATGCAGGATAATCAGACTGCTTATCCTAAGGGGTCCCAACAAGTTAATCCTAAAAAACCCAAACAGCTGGAAGTTCCCTCCTCCCCACACAGTAATGCCCAGCCACCCCAGCTTTCAGCAGAGGAGTGCCAGGCACTCAGCTCCAAGTCACAATTTTCAGATCCTTATTTCAGTATTAGCACGACTGCAAAAAGAACCTCTGCAGGTAACCCAACAAATCCATATCTGCTGCCATGCAGTCCCACAGCAGAGCTCCCACCCTTCCCATCTGCGTTCTCAGCAATGAATGCTGACTGAGCAGTGGCGTACAATGAAAGCTGACATGGTACTCACAGCGTGAGCCTGTCAGTCCCACACTTCTCTTTCTAAGGCTATAGGAGTGGAGGAACAGAGGCATTTTTATCCAGTTGTGCTTATACACAGATGTTGCTCGGGGAGCAGGAGGGTAAAAATAACCCAAAGTAAACTGGCATTGAAAGCAACAACCACTAGTAGATCTGAAAATTTAACCTCAGCTGCACACTTTCAGGTATTAAGACACCCTGAGCTACATGATTTTTTAAAGCACCTTTTTGAATAAATTACTGAAGTTTCAGTCAAAAGCACTTAAGGACACTTCTCCATTTGAAACAGGAGCCAGGAGAAGGGCAGAGCAAGAGGGTGCAGGTAAGTGATGCTACACGGTGGAAGGCAAGAAGAACCAGGTTTGGGCTCTGTGTGGTCCCTCCTCGCGTGCCTGGGCACCACAGCACGTGGAACAAGGACTCCAAATCCAGAGGCAAGTTCCCATCAGTTCCAAATTAAAATGACCAGCACCATTAGGAAAGTGTAGGTGGCTCGGGCCCCATGGTGGATCAGGGCACAGGGCTCCTCTGTGAGTGGCTAAGGATGGAGAGGCAGTGAGGAGAACCAGGAGGACAGGAGAAGCCAGAATCTCTTTGGCTGGAGGAGCAGAAAGGGAAGGAGGCTGCATTTATGGAGCAGTTTGTGAGGCAGCTGCTGGAAGAACTGACTTTGGGGAAGCTGGATATTTGTACTGCTGACGTAGGATGCAGGAGGAAGGGAGAATGGAGGCAGCACGAGTAGCTTCCATGGCTAGTAGTGGAAATGCTAGCACAGTGGTAAGCAAGGATGGGGAAAAAAATTTATATATATATATATACACATGTGTATATGTGCATATATAAATATATATATTTTTAAAAAAAGGAAGAAGAGATCTTCACTGCTTATCTAACTTTAAAAAAAGAGACACAGAGGAAGGGAAAATAACAAGAGGAGAGAGAAGCACCAGTCGCAAAGAGTTCACAAGGGTTTTTCCTGCTTCCCCCAGCGTCACTGCTCTGGCTCTGACCTTCGGGGCCGGGGTCTCCGCTGGCCCGTCGCCTTCCGCGTGGCCACGGCTGCGGTGAAGCCCACCAGGCAGCACAGGGACGTGGTGCCAAACTTGGCCGTGTCCAGCCAGCTGGGCGTGTCTGCCTTCAGGTAGCGCTCGGCCAGGTGCAGGCTCATCACCAGGAACCACAGCAGCGAGGCAAAGGCGTCGATCCGCCGGAGCCTGCCACGGGAGGAGAAACCAGACAGGATTTAAACACTGCTGAACGCCCCGGTCACCCTGTACTGCCTCTGACACAGCACATCCTGTGCAGCCCTGCCTGCTGCCGAGCAGATCAGCTCCAGCTTTTCATTCACAGTAATTAAGCTTAAATGGAATGAATCAGCGCATGCAGTACTGCATGTGCCATTCTGGAAGTGTTTACCCCCGGATCACCGAGGCAGCCCAGCACTAGGGAGCTCCCACCAAAGCAGCTTGAGCGAGACAGGAGCCCGGCACACGCACCTGATGCGCCCAGCCAGGAACATGGCCAGCAGGCAGGTGAAGAGCCCCAGCACAGCCACTGCCATCTGGTGATTCTTGCCGTAGGCCCAGGCCACGCTCAGGTTCTCCAGCAGGCGCTCCGGGAGCAGGCGGAGCAGCTCCCGCCAGCCGCGCCCCGAGCCGCCACCGTCACTGCCACTGCCACTGGCACTGCCACCGCCTGCACGGGGGCTGGCGCCAGTCCTGTTCCACACGGGGCCAGCGGGGCCAGGAGCAGGGACAGCTGTGCTGAGGGAGAAGGGGTCGCCTGACCCGTACAAGGCCATCAGAACCAGGAACGCACAGCTGAGGAAGGCCAGGAACCGCAGGAGGATCACCTGAGCTGGCGTGGTGATGGAAGTGGATGAGGATGAACACAGGCTCTGCAGAGCAAGGGAGAAACGCTTTGTCAGGACTGAATGAACTGCAGCAAGGTTTTGAAATGGTGCTCTATTAAACACTTCCAGACTGTATGGTTTGCTGGACTGCTCTGCTCAAGTCCTTCTAAGTCTCTGCACTGGGCTGACACCACATGGGATTATTGTAGACTAGCAAGGAGCAATGGCAGAGACATGAACAGAAGCCAAGGTCAGGCAGGGCAGTGAAACAAGGAGAAGGTCATAATTCAATTCCCATTGTTCTTTTTTTTTTTTTTTCCCCTTGTGCTCTGTAATTTCCTGCACTGCACTCACAAATTGGTTTCCCTACCTCCCCTTCTCTGCCTGTCCCATTATTTTCCTTCCACTCTATTATTACATTAGCCTTACCTTCTGGCAACTGTGCTGAATGACACCAGCAAGAGGAAAACCTCAAACCAGCATTAGAAGCATCTATGGCAACTCTCCTGTGCTCTCCTAAACTGCAGGCACGCAGCAAGCTCCCAGGGCTGGAGAGGCCAGGCTGCTCCTCCCTTTCCCAGCTGCAGGTGCAGCGGCAGAGCTGTCCCTGTCCTGCCCCTGTCCCTGCCCTGTCCCCATGTACCTGGCTGTAGCCCTTGTCGCTCTCCCGGCGCCTGAAGTGGTGGCTGAGCAGCAGCGCCCGCAGCTGCCGGTTCTGGTGCTTGATGTAATACTCCACTGCAGCCTGGCACGGGCGGCACAGCTTGTAGGTCTGCTCCAGGTGGTGCTTGTACACCTCAATCTCCTCATCGTACTTGCCCTGGGCAGGGAACAGCAGGGGAAAACGGGTGAGAAGTGCAGGTGCCTCACCAGCTGTCATGTTTGCCACTGACAGAAGGGCAAAGCGTGACCCCAGTGTCACAGGGACAGCTCCCTGAACCAAGCTGCAGCCAGGCATAGAGCCAGCCTCACACAGAGCTGAGCCAGCCTCCATGTCCCAGAAGGGATGGCAAAGAAGAGCCCTGGAGAAGGCTGCTGTGGCCCAACATCAGGATGTTCAATTTCCGTGCCCAATTTTGCTGTCTTTGTTGAGATATTTTGAATACTACATAGCTGAGACAAGTAACTAGAATTGCTCTTCCTCTCCTCAAATGAGGGGACACGAAATACCTGTGGCTCTGTCGCTCCAGGCTCATCCCTCCCTGGAGCAGCCAGCCCTGCTGTCACTGAAGCCCTTATCCAAGCACACTGGATAACAATCCCAGGTTTCTCAGCTGGCACAGGCACTGCAGCTCACTGAATGCTTAAAAAGGGGCCAAAGGCTGGCAGTACTTGAGCAACTGGATAGGTCTGGCAAGAGGCAGGGACTAGAAATAAAGCTGAGAAAAGGGCACCAGCCAAAGATATTTTCATTAAGCGCGATCAAATTTCAATCTGTTCTCCAGGAATCACTCTGATTAAACTCATTATAATTACACAAAGCAGACTAGATTAGGCAAGCCAGAGGATGGACACATCACACTACAGCACAGTCTAACCCTAAGGCTTGATCATGCCAAGGAATGCAGCACTAAATTCTCCGCACAGATCTTTAGGGAGCCATAAAACCGTGAAGGAGAAACCCCATTATCCCTCCTCCACGCATATTAAGTAATGGGAAGGCCAAGAAGTTGCTCAGCAGGAAATCCTGTTGCTGTAGCTGCAAAATCCCTCTGCCCTCCTAAGCACAGATGCCTAACCAGGGAAATTGTGGCTGCACAGGATTCCTCTCCCAGTTCACTTGTAAACACAGAGCAGAACAGCCAGGGCCTCTGGAAAACAAAACCTATTAAGGCTTCATGTTAACTGCTGGGCTGTTGTGCCTCTCAGCTCCCATAAACTCAGCCATGGGAAGTACTGGAGGTGTAAGATGATCTCAGAAACATCTTGGGCTCAAGCTTCAGTTTCCAGTGCTCATTAGAACAGGGGAACATTCCAGCTTTGAAGTACAATTAGGTAAATTTACAACACTAATCACTGAACTTCTCTGCACTGGAGTGCCACAGAGTGAAGACTGTTGGAACATCATTACTGAAAAACTGCTCTCTCTCCTGCTTACTAGGCTGCAGCATGGAATAAACAGAGCAGGAACGGCAGATGCATGGATGGGAATGCCTTGGACAAACATTCTCCAGTGATGGCAGTCCCGAATGAACACTCACCTCCTCCCTTGGTGAGAATGAAGCCAGCTGTTTGATTTTCATGGTTTGATGGTTGTTGCATTTCTTGCAGAGCAGAATCTGGCTGCTCACCCACTGCTGTGGTTTGGTAGGGTCACAGAAAGTTGGACTGCCCGACACAACGTGGTTAAGGTGTTCCATGTACTGGGCAGGGATGGGCTTGTTGTAGTCTCCATTCTGACAAACAACAGGGGGAAAAGCAAACATTCAATCATAAAATCACAGCTGGGTTGACAGTAAGATTCCCTAAGTTCTGTCAGCAGCTCTGCATTTCATTAGCATGCACCTATGTAACAAAATAAATTAGTAAAAAAAGAGGCAAAATGCTTCAAATCTTCCCCCATCTCCACTGTCCTGCACACCTATCTCAGGCAGCTAGTGGTGCTGGATTTCAGCTCAAGACAGGCTTTGCTATTTAACAGAACACAAAACCAGAGAAGAATTGTTCCATACAGTAAAATAAGTATTCTTACGAGATACGTCAAGGCCACTTTCACCCTTTAAAGTGAGACAGGAACATTTGTCTCTATCTCTCTTAGTCAGCACAACCAGCGCAGAAGATTCTCTTTCCAAGCTGAGGTGCTGAGCTCATGGGTGCTGGGCACAGCCAGCCAGCTGTGCATTCACTGCCCCATGCTGCTGAGGCTCCCCAGGCACTCCCAGCTCCTGTACCTCCTGTCCCAGCCCCTGTACCCCCTGTCCCAGCCCCTGTCCCAGCCCCTGTACCTCCTGTCCCAGCCCCTGTACCCCCTGTCCCAGCCCCTGTCCCAGCCCCTGTACCTCCTGTCCCAGCCCCTGTACCCCCTGTCCCAGCCCCTGTCCCAGCCCCTGTCCCAGCCCCTGTACCTCCTGTACCCCCTGTCCCAGCCCCTGTACTCCTGTCCCAGCCCCTGTACCCCCTGTCCCAGCCCCTGTCCCAGCCCCTGTACCTCCTGTCCCAGCTCCTGTACCTCCTGTCCCAGCCCCTGTACCCCCTGTCCCAGCCCCTGTACCCCCTGTCCCAGCCCCTGTCCCAGCCCCTGTACCTCCTGTCCCAGCCCCTGTACCTCCTGTCCCAGCCCCTGTACCCCCTGTCCCAGCCCCTGTACCCCCTGTCCCAGCCCCTGTCCCAGCCCCTGTACCCCCTGTCCCAGCCCCTGTACCCCCTGTCCCAGCCCCTGTCCCAGCCCCTGTACCCCCTGTCCCAGCCCCTGTACCTCCTGGAAGCCGTTGTACTGCTCGCAGTTGGGGCAGTCCCAGCAGTTGCGGTTCCCGTAGGGCACCACCGTGTCCTGGTTGCAGAACCAGCAGTTCACCGTCACGTGCGTGGGCTTCTTCCTGGGGGGACAACAAACATCTCAGGCAGGAGCCCTCAGCTCAGCTGGTGGAGAGGAGAGCAATGGCTTCCCAACAGTGAAATGCAGGAAAACAGCCAATCTTCCCATTCCGTGTGCTTAATGCTATGACTTGGAGTAGTGCTTTTAGCAATGAAAAGCAGAAATAAATTCTGCCTGACAATCATCCCTCTGCTCCAGTACCATGGACATGCCAGAACTTCAATAACAACCTTGTGATTTACCCACTTCACTGTTTTTCATGGCTATATCTGGGGGTCCTCTCCCTAATCAGCAGTGTCATTCTATGAGAAGGTGCAGTAGAATTGATGCTTAAGACACAGGATTCCAGGGAAAGGAAGTCAGGATCCATGGGAGCTGCCTGTGAGGGTGCCCAGAAACCCAGGAAATGGGCATCCCCTGCTTTTATGCACTAGAACTGAAGGGATAAGGACTAATGACCTCGATCCATGAGCCCCTTGTTCTCTAAAGCAATCCTGCTAAAACAACAGCCAATACAGACAAACAGCTGTGACGAGGCCCCACCAAAACAGGCTGTGACAGATGTGTGAGCAAAGACCACCTTCACCAGCCCAATCCCTGAGCCTGCCTGCTAGAGAAGCTCTGCATTTGTCTCAAAGCTCAGTGCAAGGCCCAAGAGGAGCTCCCTGGCCCAGGCACCCCAGCCCAGCTGTCTGGGCTCATCAGCACCAGCCCCATTTCCAAGGCAGGGCAGCTGCCCAGGGCTGGCTATGGCAGCCGTGCAGACAGATGGACACAGCTGCCACAGCCCAGCTCCACCAGGGAATAATGAATCTGTGTGGCTCCACTGCAGCAGCAGAGCAGGGGAGCAAATAACAGCAACCATTTTTCCCACTCACATTTCCACGGACCGTGCCTCGAAACTCGGTTCATAAAACATCAAACCCTCAAGCAATGCCTGAGCCTCCTGTTTAGGCACTAACAATGAGGATATGCTTGAAATGAAGCACTGTAAAGTCAGAATGTACAGAGGATTCCCTGCCAGATGCTGAAAGAAAATGGCTGGAGCTACTAGGATGGCAGATTCTCATCTCAAAATAGATGCAAACACCCACACCCCCCCTTAAAATGAATATTCCCTGCTCAACTTTCTTCACTGCCAAGGGGGCTCAACTGATCTGAGTTAAAAATATCACTGCTAAAGCTAACAGGCAAAAAAAGCCCCCCAAACCAGCCCAGAGATTAAAGCAGACAAATCTAGGTTGGTGTCTGAGTTATCCACGAGCTGCTGCTGTCCAAAAGCCAAGCACGTGCCCACCCCAATCCCCTCCTGTGGCACCACTGAAACCCCTCAGCCCCTGCCCACCCCAGGCTCTGCATTCCATGGCATGACAGAGGCAGCAGCACTAATTTCAAGGGTGACAGAACTGGAAAGCACAGGTGAAGCAATGAATAAAGCAGTCATGCCATAAAGGGAAATCCATCAGTGCCAAACCCTGCCTGAGAACTCGCTAATATCAGAGACCAAATCCTCAGAGTACTCGAGGCCTTTCCAGCCTTTTCCAAACAGGATTTCATTTCTTGCTCTGGAGGCTCAGGAAGTACTACCAAGGATTAAACAGCAGCACCTCATTTGCAATGTATGCAAAACAAATGGCTAAATCCTGGATTATTTAGGATAAAAGGCAATAATACTTCCTTCTGTGAACCTATAATCTGTTGCCATAGAAATAGGTGCAAAAAATCCCAAATTCTCAATCTGGTGAATGTAAAATAACAAGGGGAGGAAAAGGTTGTTGAGGCAAGAACATGTAGGTAGGGTACTAATTTTCTAGTAATTGGGCAGGACTGAAAAAAACCAAAAAACAAGTTCTGCATTTGGAAAGACTCTCAAATACAGGTTTAACTACTCTGGAGCTATATTTACCTTGCCTGAATTCAGGCAGCAGCTGAGGGCAGTGAGTTAAAGCACACACTGCTTCCAAAGTCAGAGAGTGCCAACGCAAATGGAGCCTTTACCATGTGCTCAATCCCTCACAAATCAAAAGGCAAATCATCCCCGAGGAGTTCATAATCTAGCACTGTGCTAATCTGAACCAGCTCCACTGGCCAGAGAACCTCCTGCACACCAAAACCTGGGCAGCAAGAAGTGAGTGAGTTACTCCAGGCACAGAGAGACTCCACTCACAGCTGACTCCCTGTGTAACCTGCACACCCAGCCAGGCTCACAGCACATTCAAGGCTTGCACAAACTGCTCTGCAGGTAGAAAATGTTTGCTTAAGCCAAAATTGAGGGGAAAACACCTGCAGTAAACTCAGTTATGGCACCAACAGCTAAATGTCTGACAATGCTCAGACAATGACACCCTGTTCCTTTGTGAGAAGCTGCTGGATTCTTAATTTTGCTCACAAAAATCAGGCTGCAGCTCTGCAGGTCCCATTGACAAACACTGGCTAGCAACTAGTTTGTGTCTGTCATGTAACACAAGGAGGAACTGAGGCTGCTTCCCAGCACTCTTCACTTCTCATTTATACACACATTTAAGGTCATGCTGAAGTCCATGCTTCTAATGGATTGCCAGAACAACAGTCTACCTTGGTAAATGCTGGCAGTAATAAACTGGATTTGTAAATATTTTTATTTACATCTATTCCCCACCCTCTTTAAGTCAGAAGATGAAAATGTTTACTTTTCTGTAGCCTTGAAAGTGACACTGGTGGATGTGCAGCTCTTCGCTGGGTTACCAAGGATTAGAAGAAAAACCCAATTCTCTATTAAAAGTATTTAAAGCAGCAGTCTCATTCTGGCACAACTGGATCACAAAGCAATTATTCAAATGGCTATGCCAGCACATCTGAACAGTCCCCTCAGCAAGGAAAAATGTGCCCAGTGGGCTCAGGCAGGGACACCCAGTGATAACCCAGGGACACCCCAGGCTCTGTTCCTATCTGGACATCAAATCTGTTATCTCCTTGATAAACAAAAAGCAAAGGCAGCATCATATCTATGTCTCATATCACATCTGTGCCCCTTATTAAGCTGTCCTCCTTGATGACTATCATTGACTAACATTCACTAAATCAAGGCAGAATAAGAAATTTGGACGTATCAGAACAGTACTGAGAAAGACAACATGCAGCTTCAAAGAATTATCAAGGTCACCTGAAAGAATTTACCGGCAGTCTTCAAGGACTTGGGAAGAAACGCTTTCCATTCCAGAGACCTTTTGATGAACTCGGGCAAAACAAACCCACTCTCCTCACTCTAAAGGCACGCTAGCCTCAACTGGGTCAAAGAAATCCTGCCTGCTTCACTGGAATTGCCTTTAGGCCACCTGGATTTCTTGGCTACCCTAAATATGTCAGACAAAGGCCAAGTCTTATATATGGACTAATGTCCCATTGATCATTGATATGGATAAATAAGCAGCAAATGCTTTAGAGGAAACCTTAGGCATCACATTGAGGATGCGGGAATATGCTGCTATTGCAAAGCACTAACGTGAAGTGAACCTTAGCATAGGGAGCCCTTGGGACTGGCTTGTCTCCAATAGAAGCACTTAATAGATGAGCAGGCTGCAAGGTCTATTGCTGCTACAGAGCCTGAAATCCTTATATTCCACACATCCCTACATTCCTTTCATGCTATGCCAGATTAGAACCTGTCAAATTAAGTTTTTCTCCTTTCATGAGATCTGAATCATGACATGTCTCCTGATGCTTTTCAAACCTGGCTTTCAATTGCTCTGAATTTGTTCTAAGGTCAGGAACGTTCTGTGCAATTAAGAAACAAATAACCAAAGAATTTTGGTCGCTAATCAATAATTTTGACTTGCATAGAATCTCCCCTAGTTGTATTACTGTGCTAACACCTTTGATATTTACAAGCGTGTTCCCCAGCAATGCATCCCTCACCCCACACCCACCAGCCACAAGAGCAGGATCTTGTCTTTCAAAGACGCGGGACAAGGAGCGGGGGAGAGGCGATGGGCAGCGCTGGGATGCTCAGCCCGGCACACAAAGCCATTCCCGGGCACAGAGCGCTCCCATCCCAGCCGCGTTCCCGGCGGTGTCGGGGCACACAAAGCCATTCCCGGGCACAGAGCGCTCCCAGCCGCGTTCCCCGGCGGGGTTGGGGCAGAGCCGGGATGCTCAGCCCAGCACACAAAGCCATTCCCGGGTTTGGGGTGTCTGTGCTCCCAGCCGCTCTCCCCGCTCGGCCCTGCCCTCGCCGCCGCCCAGGCCGGGCCCTGCCGGGGCTCTCCGGGAGCGGCCCCGCCGCTCTCCCACAGCGGGCGGGCCCGGGCCCCGCGTGGCGCCTTCCCGCCGCCGCGGGCCGCATCCCGCCATGCCGTGCCCAGCCTCCCTCCTCCTCCTCCCTTCCGTCCGCCCGTCCTTCCCTCCCTCCCCGGCCGCCGTCCCCGCGCCGCCGGCCGTACCTCCGCGCGATGCGGTAGAGCAGCAGCCCCGCGGCCGCGGCGCAGGCGGTGACGCCCAGCCCGGCTCCGTCCATGCCGGCGCGGCCGCGCTGCCCCGGCGCCGGCGGAGCCGCTTTGTAGGGGCGCGGCCGGCGCCCGGCCCGCCCCTGGGCCCGCGGGGGCGGCGCGTGACTCACGGCGGGGCCGGAGTCGTGCGCCGGGGCCGCCGTGACTCAGCGCCGCAAAGGCCGAGATCGTGGCGGCGGGGGCGGCCCGGGCCCGGCCGGCCGGGGGCGGCCCGGGGAGGTCGTGCCTGGCCCGGCGTGCCTGGCCCGGCGCCCGGCGCACACCGGGGACAGCGCTTCTCCTAAATATAGCGCGGCGCTGTCGGTGTGACGGCGGGGACAGGCCCCGTGAAGGGCGGCCGCCGCAGCGCGGCTCTGAGAGGAATGTCCTGGGCTGCGAGGGACACGGTTCATCCCCGGCCCTCAGACACCCCAAAATCCCGCCCTGGGCATCCCTGACTATCCTGAGCTGGAAGGGACACAGTTCATCCCCGGCCCTCACAAACACCCCAAAATCCCGCCCTGGGCATTACTGGAGTGTCCTGGGCTGGGAGGGACACAGTTCATCCCCGGCCCTCATAAACACCCCAAAATCCCACCCTGGGCATCCCTGTAAGGGACACAGTTCATCCCTGGCCTGCACAGACACCCCAAAATCCCATTCTGGGCACCCCTGGAGTGTCCTGGGCAAAATTCCTGCCTGGGCATCCCTGGAGTGTCCTGGGCTGGGAGGGACACAGCTCATCCCCGGCCCTCACAGACACCCAAAAATCCCATTCTGGGCATTCCTGGAATGTCCTGAGCGAAATTCCTCCCTGGGCATCCCTGGAACATACTGAGCTGGAAGGGACACAGTCCAGCCCCAGCCCTCACAGACACCCCAAAATCCCGCCCTGGGCATCCCTGGAATTATGTAGCTGTTTCTGTGATTAGCATTCTCAGCACAATAAAATTGCTTAAGATTCAGCAATCATGTTTTTTAAAAGGCATAAATGGAAAAGCTCTTCATAGACAAATATTTGTGCTGGGAGTGAACTCTACTTTTAAGCCTAACTATGGTTGGGCTCTTCACTGTTGCATTTCCATCTGTAGAGATTTAACCATGGAAATTAATTCTGCGGAATTAACAGTGAATATTTCATCTTAACGAATTTAAAAGGCACATAGTTTTTCCATCTCTCTCCCATTGTTTAGTGCAATTACTTAGGGATTGTGTTATGAGAATGCTAGGGCAGGCAGGAAGAACAACCCACCCGGTCCTTTGGCACAGCCAGCCCTCCTGGTGTCCTGCAGGGCTGTGCTGCAGGGCTGGGCTGTTCTCCCTACGCAAATCCCTCCCTTCCTCTCAGCTCTGTCTGTGCCATCCGCCCAAGCAGAGGTGCTTTGTTTAAAAATGAGTTTCCTCCTCAAAGGAGCGAATGAGGAGCCTGTGCAAGGGGCACACCCAGAGCTGGGAACACAATTCCCAGCAAATGCAGGTGCTTGGAGGGCTATGGAGGCAGCCACAGGTATTAAAGGGAGGTATTAAAGCCCCACAGTGTAAGGACTTGGCTCAGAAATGCTTCCGAAAGGAAATTAACCAACACGAGTGGCTCATCACATTGCAGTATGTGTGTCGTTTCCATTGAATGGTAATTTATGAATGGAAACAGGCACAGTCCTGGTGAAGTTAATGGAATCTGTGTGATCACCTCAGATAGCAGTGATTTCATCACCTTGCTGATAATTTAGCTACAAAGGGTCTAGTAATCAAGCCTTTACCTACCTTCCATGGAAATGACTTTCTGTAGAAGCTGGAGAAGAGGAAGGAACAGTGAGAAATTCCTTTAGATTGACTTTGACAAGCAGAGGAAGGTTGTTGGTTATTTTTAAATTCAGGTATCGTTTTGGAAAAAGCTACTTCAAATTCTTCCCTCTGGTAATAGGCTTATTCCATACTCAGTGACATCAATGGGATTGCTCACAGAGCATCACCTAAAAATGGTAACTCTTTACAGGGTTTAAGGAATCAAGGGCCAGTGAATTTTAAAAATTCTATTAGAGAGAGGAAGGAAAAAGGATTTAATTATACTAATTCAGAAACTCTATTATCTCCCAATATAGCTTATTAACCCCTGATCAAATTAAGACTAACTCTGTCTGGATTGGTAGCAAAGCTTAAAGGACAAAACCAAAAATCCTGCGGAATTCCCGATTTCCCATCAGATTTAGGCAAAACAAAAATTTGCTCCCTTTCTCTTGCTTTTTCTCTTGCCAAATCCCAGACTTCTCAAAAGGCCTGGAGTTCCCTCCCCTCATTCTCAGAAGACATAAGCAGTCTACACATTTGACTAACATTTTAGAAGAGAGCTAGTGCACTGGAAGTATAGAGGAATGCTAATTTAGGAAAGAAAATCTCAGAAAATGTTTGAGAGTAGCAGCACAAGTGTCCTAGTTCTCAAAAATAGAAACACTGTTTTATAGTTTTATCTCCTATACAGAGTCTGAAGCTTCTGCTGCTCATCATCTCCATAAAAAAAAAAGCCATGTCAATTTTTACTCAACTGTTTCCTATTTTAGCTTAGGCGGAACGTGATAAGTTATTTCCAGGAGGACATAATAGAAATCAGTTATTTTTTGCAGTTTTGCCTCATAATGAGGTACACACACACTCTACTCTCTCTGCACTGAGCTCCTACATCACGCTGATGTCAAACCTGACCTCAAGCCCCAGTCATCAGCTGGGCCCTACTGGGAGCAAATAGGAAGGGTGGAATCTGGTTATCAGCCCATCCCATTCCTGCACCAAATCCCACCTGAACTCCAGCTGCTCAGAGGCTCCCACTGCTCCCAGGCTGTCTCCCCTCTCTGCTGGGAGCACTCAGGGCTGCCCACAGCTCTGGTTCCACTCCAGGATCAGCAGCTGCTCACACCATGAGCAGCTCGTGGTTGTCACTGCAGGGAAGGCCAAAGCTGGGCTCAGATGCTGCAGGGTTTGTCTCAGCTGCCAAAGCAAATGGCACTAATGAACAGCAGGCAGAGCGAGGCCAAAGCAAAACAGCAGCCTACATGTGAGTTCTAAAATGTTATCCTGCACCATCACCAGTAATTCATGTGCCACACTTTAGTCACAAGGTGCTGCTGCAATACAAGGGGGCGAAGATTTAAAATGAAAGCGTATTCCAATGTTTTTGAAAGAACTACTCTCAAGTATGCAGGATATTTGATTTATAAGTGAAAGGTAAGAATTGTATCATGAGAACTGTTGAAAATCTTTCATGGAACTCCCACAGAGCAGCCAGGCCACAGTCACTGACTGTCCTTGTGCTCCCAGGCCTGCACCAAAGCCAGGTGTGAAAGGCAGGACAGATCTGTCCATCCCCACTACCATAACCATGTGTCCCAAATGCACAAATTGCATTCTTGCTAAAAGCCTCCCACCATCACACTGCCAGTGCAAGTGGCTTTTCTAAGAGATGCTGGTGTGCACAGTTCATACCCTCAAACAGAGAAACACCCCAGGGTGTTCACACAGCAGTGAATGATGCACCCTGAAAAAAAACAGAATTACTCAAAGTTATTTGGGCACTTAGGCTATTACAGTGCTCAAAAGCAATATAACCCAGTTGTAAGAAGACAGTTTCAAATGTCCAAGCCAGTTCTCCTGTTTTAATACAGTTTTAATGAACATCAGTCCAAGAGATCACTTGATAGTATGAGGTACATTCCTTGACCACATATGGCTGTGCTTAAGGAAAAGGACAAACATATAATTAAATTAAATACTGTAATTTAATTTAGTAGTAGTTTAATTATCAAGTTAAAAAAAAATTATAATTAACTATTAACATTAATGACTTGAGACCTTTTAGAAAGCATGAGTCCAAAAGGAAATATCCACAGATGGCCACAGACTTGTAGTGTTTCCACCAGCACTGCCACCTGCAACAGTCTCTTAAAGGACTATTTGTTCAGTGAAGAAATTGGTCTTCAGTCTGTAACAGGAGCCTTGGCTCTGCTACTTTGCGTGGTCTTCCAAGAGGTACACGATCAGCTCGTAGGTGGACAGGACAATGGCTGTGTTTGGGATCTGCCTGATGAGCTGGGCAAAGAGTCCTCTGTAGAAGGCCAGGTAGCCCTCCTCCCGTGCCACCAGCCGTGCCGTCTGCAGGAAAGCCTTGTACTTGGTGCCCTCCTCCCGCAGCCGCGTCCGGATCACCTCTGCACACAGAACACAGCCCAGTCACCAAGGGAAACTGCCAGCACCAGCAGGGCTCCTGTGGGCAAACCCCAGGGACAGGGAAACCTCTTGCACCAGCTGGCACAGCCAGCCAGGAACCCTGGACACACTGCCCTCCAGGCAGGAGGAACCCTGGACACATCACCCTTCAGGTAGGAGGGACCCTGGACACACTGCCCTCCAGGCAGGAGGAACCCTGGACACACTGCCCTCCAGGCAGGAGGGACCCTGGACACACTGCCCTCCAGGCAGGAGGGACCCTGGACACACTGCCCTCCAGGCAGGAGGGACCCTGGACACATCACCCTCGAGGCAGGAGGAACCCTGGACACACTGCCCTCCAGGCAGGAGGGACCCTGGACACATCACCCTTCAGGCAGGAGGAACCCTGGACACATCACCCTCCAGGCAGGAGGGACCCTGGACACACTGCCCTCCAGGCAGGAGGGACCCTGGACACACTGCCCTCCAGGCAGGAGGAACCCTGGACACATCACCCTCCAGGCAGGAGGGACCCTGGACACACTGCCCTCCAGGCAGGAGGAACCCTGGACACACTGCCCTCCAGGCAGGAGGAACCCTGGACACACTGCCCTCGAGGCAGGAGGGACCCTGGACACATCACCCTCGAGGCAGGAGGAACCCTGGACACATCACCCTTCAGGCAGGAGGAACCCTGGACACATCACCCTCCAGGCAGGAGGGACCCTGGACACACTGCCCTCCAGGCAGGAGGAACCCTGGACACATCACCCTTCAGGCAGGAGGGACCCTGGACACACTGCCCTCCAGGCAGGAGGGACCCTGGACA